TCTCGATATAACGACCATGCAGATTCTATTGAATTTATATTGTTTACAATAGGATCTGCATGGTCGTTATATCGAGAATCGACTGTATACTGGTAGTACATGTTAAACTTTTTATGCGGGCCACTGTAATTAATTTAACTCGAATTAACAATTAATTCGAATCAGTCAAAATGATTCGAATAACTTTTTTAAAATTCGGATATTATTCGAATCGGAGCATTACATGCGACTAATAAATAATGAAATTCTAATACATGTATTACAAAGACCAAATCAATTAAATAATATTATTTATAGCCAATAAATCATTGTAATCATGTGATTTTATATTGCCAAAAATTTGGAACAAAATTTTTCCGGGTTCCTGCCGCGGGTCAAGCGACTGATAATATTACCAACGAGCTGCATTACTCATCTTTAACATCAGTATTATTAATCATTTCAGTCTTCCTTAATATGAGTTTGTAAGTTTTAATATTTCTGTTTGTGTTAATATTAAATAGAGGTTCAGCTTTCCTCAAATAAAGTTGCTGCTATTTTAAACCCTGAAAAGGAAATATTAAATGCGGAATAGTATTATTCATGTCATGATCTTAAAGGCTCGGTCCGGCCTGATTCTCTGACACGACAGTAAATTTACCCGTTTCTCCGATGGGATACTATAACATAATATATTAAGTGGTCTTTGCATGTAATTAATGTTAAATGTGCAATTGTAATTAGAAAAATGTCATGTCGGGGATATGGGTGGTCGGTAGAATAAATGATATGGCTTCGGGAAACTTTTGTGTCGGAAAAGGGGTTGCACTTAGACCGTCAGCCACATCGGTCCCAAACTTTCAAATCTTTTATCATTCAATATAGATTTTCTATTGCATAATGCAGATAAGGAACAAACGTTCAATATTAATTTATCGTCTTGTTCTATTATTAGAACAAGTACAATGGGTTCAAAAGGGATTCGTTCCTAATTCAAATTATGTGTTATGCAGGACCATAGGATCGCATCAATCCAATATTAAAAAGTCCTGCCCAAAGCGGTTTAAGGACCGAACCTTGAAATCCCTAGTAAAAAGATTAAATGATAAATCGTTTTATTTTGTCACGTATTTTGTCACAGTACGTGATATAAATCAGCTATTACGGCGCAGCTGTGATGTTGCATAATATCTACGGAATAACTATTACAGTGGGGGACAGCATAAATCATCCACTCAGGTTGGATTTTTAAAGATCCATAACTCGTGTTCTATACATGAAACAAAAAAATCCTCTTTAGCCAAATTGTAACCATTGGCCCAGCTACAATTTGGCTAAAGAGGATTGTTTGTTTCACGTAGAGAGCACAAGTTATACTCCTTTAAAAATCCAACCTGAGTGGATGATTTATGTTGTCCCAAACTGTACTTATTTGCTAAAGCGAGTCCGAATAATAATTACTTTGTCGACAAGTATTCAATTGTTTTATTTTCTCCTCGTAATTTCTATTTGATTCGTGTTTTTTGTAATATACTTACTTAACTTTAATCCTATCAAGTTTGTGCATGTATCCTAATTACTGTAGAGTGCTGCACATCGCCAAACTTTGCCTCAAAGCCATTAATTTAGCAATAAGAAAAAATAATTGGGTATGCTAAAAAAATTTAAATGCTGGCATTTGGCTGCGGCAACACTGCTATAGGCAATGCTCTACGGTGACACCGAAGTTTACTTCTATTGTAAACTATATTAATACCGACACCTTGATTTCTCTCCACTAAGGTCAACGTTAATAATAGTGACTTTTTCATCCATTTAATCAGATTCGACGGTTACATTATACAGTGTATAACTTTTTAAGTAAATGAACTACATGTAATTGACTAATTGACACAAGATTAATAAGCAAATTTATGATTTGTGCTTGCCGTGTTAGGTAATAAGCGGTCGTTTCATGTCGATGAAATTATTATTTAGAAAATTACGCGAGTCGTAATATTTAAACGTTTCTAATATGCTCTCCAGCTAACAACTAGTACATGTATATTGCGTTGGATTTGTGCCGTCTACTGTAATAATAATAAATAACAAATAATCAATAATGGAGAACACATCAAATTTACGCGAAATCACATACATCTGCATATATGCTAATAAATATACGGAAACAAAACACCGGAGTAATGCACAAAGAAAGAACGCGAAATTTTACGTGTTTTATGCATCTCAAATAATATCGTATTTTCCGTTTGCTTCCCGAGTTAGCATACGCAGTCAAATATCATTTATATCTGAGACATAACGATAATATGATAATTAATATAAACTAATAACAAATAAATAAAAATGCAGGCACAAACAATTCGCAATTAAGCTTGTTTGTTATATACATATATCTATATACAGTATACATATATCTATATACAGTATATCTATATCTAGATAGACAAAGAATAAAACCTAACGGCGTGATATATATATATGTAATCTATACTTTTATTTATTTTATATGTGTTTTTAATTTAAAGTCTAAATGACATCAAATAACCGGTCTAATCCGTTATTGCTCCATATTCAGTCTTCTTGAATTGATTCTACTCGGAATTTTCGTTACTTGGAAAATTCTTTATAGAATTATTGGTAACAATTTTCGTAAAGAGACGCCGTTCGTAGAAATTCTTCTTGGATCACAACACAAAGAATTCGATTTGAGAATGTACATGTATCATCTATGAGGCATACACTGAAACACAGCAAAAGATGTAGGTGTAGTAAGTCTTTTTTGGTGAGTTTAGGGGTAAAAACCTGTTTCGTTTGAACTTTAACGGGAAGAAGAGGTGGAGAAAGAGATATATATAACCGGGGCGGGAAGATTGTGAATGGAAATTACGTGCGAAAATTGTATTGTGTGAATATAACAAACCGTTTTAAACGTGTTTCTGGAAAATTAGTACTCCTTTCCCCCAACAAAATCTTACATAATGCCTTCACAGTCTGAAGTCCTTTGTTTAAAGCTTCAGCACTTTTTATTAATTTACTGGTCGATCTTAATATGATTTTCTTATTGCACGGTGGCTTAACAAATGTGGAAAAGCTTATTTTTTTTTGGGAAACGGTATCCGGGGTGTACCATTGATTGGATTGGGCCACAATTCTTTTACGTTTGCAAAATCGGTGAATTTTTTTTTTACTTTAACGTTACGTATAATGTAAACATATTACGTAAAGGCGTATAAGCAAAATTTAATGCATACGGATACATACGTACATAAACATTGTAAGTAATATACTTTAAATGAACGCCATTTTTTTATTATTTACAGAAATGTATGTAATGTGTGTATATATGAAATATATTAATTAATTAATATGTATAAAAAAAGAGTTCAAGGTTGTTGACGTTCCATTGAATGAGATTATGCCACATTAATATTAAAAATGGGGTGATCAATTTAATTAACGATGCCAATATTTCTTATGTTTCTTTTTGGTGATTGATAAATTAACAGTAGCGTAATCTGAGAAAAAAGGAAATGTCTTAATGTTTTGTTTTGTTTTTTTTTTTGGATTTGGATTTGGATCATAGTCTATTTTGATTTCATTCAATGGAAACTGAAATTGAAGATTCTATTTTTTTTAATATGTCCGATCTATAACACTTCGAAAAACAAACTAAACTCATCACTATCAGTATTACTATTGCTATTGTCATCATCGTGTTCATTCAAAAATTCTTCAAACTCGTAAATAAAAGGCGCAGCGAAGTCATCAATTTTCGAACAAGCTTTTATCGAATTACTATCAAAGAATTGTGCTGAAGCTGTACTGAATATTGAAGACATTGATTCTTGTTGGTGTTCCGGTAGCGATGAATATGGTGTTAATGGGGTGATTGGAGAATGCGGTGAAATAGGCGAGTGTATTAAAGATGGCGATGGTGTTAGTGAGGAAAAGGGGTCAAAAGGAGCTGTTAGTAACAATTCATTATAGTTGAAGAATCCAATGTTCAAATTGTTGTTGTTTGATTCTTTTTGTTCTTGTTCTAGCGATTCTTCATTCTCTAGGGGATTTTCATTGATTATTGAGGGAATTATAAAGTTTGGAGATAAGATTGGGCAAGTTGAAGTAAACGAGGAAGAAAATTCTGTGAGTAAAGGTGATTCGAAGTTCTCGTTTATAATTTCCGGTATTGGATTCGGTGAACGATTATTATTGTCGTCTAATTGAGGAGAAGATGATAATGAATCTTTATTATTGTCATCTAATTGAGGAGAAGATGGGAATGAATTTTTATTTTCTTTTTGTGGCACTGATGCTTTATATGGAGAAGAGCTTGCAGCTCTTGATTGTTTTTTGACAGATTTAGATTTAGCTTTACTACTACTATTTTTGTCGTCCTCATGTTTTACACTTAATTCATACTGAACTTTAGCCAACTTCGCCACACGTTTATACTCTGTTTTAACAACAGCTGACTCCAACTTCCACGACTGGGAAGCCATCGTCGAGACCATAGTCATCGGCAACCGATACCCTTCCTCACGAGCCGTCTTCACAAACGCACGTCGATAAATAATAAATGCATTGGGCATTTTGCTTCTAGTAGATTCATCTTTCTTTGTGGTGACCAGCAAGTCTTCGAGGCTGAATTTTGGTGGGAATGGAAGCTTGAAAAACGGTTGTGCGAGGGAGGACTCATTGCCGCCGTTTTTATCGTCGTCTGTGGACGAGATTATTTTGTTAGGATTTACGGGGTCGTTGGAGTTTATAAATATGTATGGACGATGTTGTTCGCTGGATGATTTTTGGGTATTGGAAGTGGTAGAGGTTGGTGAAGACATTCTTTATAGCTTTGTATATCACGAGATTAAATATTTAACCAAGACGTAATCACTTGAAATGATAATTTTGAAAGTGATTTCAGTATATTTATTTCCTGTCTTTTTTGCTTTTAAAAAAACTAAGTTTTTGAGAAACCAAAACAAAAGCAAACTTCTCAACAGTTTGCCCTCTCATATTTATACATGTGTTGCTACTATAAATACACGAGTATTCTTTACAGTATACATATTTCCATAAATTTATCCGAGTGATTAACATTCCGAAATTGTATTAACTTTGAGTGGTCTATCAATTCTACCGATACGTACTCTTGGCACAATTGCCACACACTGTAAATAATGTCGATCGTTATTTAAAATAATATACATGTATATCGATATACAAATATATATGTATACGTATCATGTATATACATGTAGCTTAAACTTTTTGATTGTAAAACTCCGAGTATTGCTTGGCGTTCCATATCGAATCGTCAGAACAGTTCCTGCCTGGCTTACAAAATTATGACTAACTCACCAAATGAATGATGCTACCAAACAAAAGTCATAGGGGAGAAAGAGCATTTGCTCTTGTCTGAATTATGATTGGTCGTGTGTGCTAAAACTATGACTTAACTCCCCAAATGAATGAATGATTGAACTCTGCTACTAAACAAAAGTTATGGGAAGAAAGAGCGTTTGCTCTTGTGCACAATTACGTATGATTATACGTGTGTGTATGTGTCTGTATGTGACACAAAGAAAAGCTTGGAATATAAATACCATCGAAAATTCTTCTTCACTCTGTGTAAAAGAAACCGATTTAGCGTTATTACCATTTGTAAGATCGGGATAATTGGTAAACAGTTACACGAGTATTGTCATGTGAAAATTTGGTTATACCAAGGGAAGTGTTATTTATTTGGGTTGGCATCGTTATATCGAAAATTTAATTAATCATCGTCATAACGGCAATCGGTACGTCGAGGTTTACATAACGATAACGATTTAGATCTGGCCCAATTTGGAGTTAATTCAGTTATTGAATCAATCCACGAGATGAGTCCCGTAGCCTCATCTACTCAAATGAGTAATATTCTAGAAAAATTATTCATTCGGAAGCACTATCACTCCGCTTTGATATAACAATGATTTGCCAAGATTACGTATATCTAAAAATAGATCGATCGGATTTGATTACAACATACCGATACAGCTTGTGGCACCCATGTACGCATCAGAACCAGTTAGATTAAGTTAGATTCAATCAAAAAAAATTTTTATTGTATATATCGGGATCAACGTATTTGTATAGCGCGCGACTGTATCTATTTGTAATATATGTAACTTGCATTTTATTTGTTTATTTATTTATTTAGACTTGATAAATGAAGGAATAATGTTCTGCTTAATTAAGCGAAAGCATTATTAATGAATGACTAAACACGATTGGCACAAATCTTTTTTTCTTTGTGGGATAATATATTCTTTTAGAAACTTCCGTTTCATCAGACCACTTTTTGTATCAATTAAATAACGCTCTGTTTCAGCTTCAAAATAAAACTGATGATATCGGATATTTCCGCGTAGAGATTGATTATTCTGTTTCGTTCTCAACTCCAAGTTCAAGACTAAAAAAAGTCGTCGTGTAACTAAACTTAATTTGCTGCCAAGTCTTTTGTTGAAATCGGACTTTGTTTAATGCGATATACCGTAATTTGTAACTTTGTGAATGCAAAAAATGCAAATCAAGTTCAATTGGTCAAGTCCCGCGTAACTTGATTTTGCATAAATATAGCATTGGTGTTTGTTGTCTAATTTTTCGTTGACAAAAAGATGTTGGAAAAAAGGAGCAAATTAAGTTTTTATTAAAAGAACAGAAAACCTCTTGCCAACATCCACTAAGCTTACAAGAACATTTCATCCAATAAAAAATGTCCACCTCATCAAGACTCGAACAAAAACCCAATGAAGATAAACCCTACATCTTCATCAACTCTCTTTCTCCAATTTTTCCATCTCAGGTAGAAGTACAAGTGAACACAACCCACACTTCTCCGCAACCTTTTTTCAAAGTTCCCTTTCCACCCACGTTCTCCATCGATGATTTGATCTCTAATCCACTGTCACGTAAAAGTAAGGGTAACAAGAAGCCGCCGGAGAAGCCACCGAACGCATTTATTATTTATCGTCGCGCATTTGTTAAAGCTGCGAGAGAAGAGGGGTATCGACTGCCGATGACTATGATTTCGAGCATGGCCTCAAAATCTTGGAATCTTGAACCTGAAGAAGTTAAGAAAGCGTATAAGTGTGTTGCGAAAAATGCTAGGAAAGAGTATAAGATTCAAGCTTATAACAAACTTCAAGCGTCGGGGAATCGTGGTAATGCGAGATTCGATAACGAAGTAGTAGAAGAAGGCAAATTGACCACCATCTCTTCACTTGAAATAAGAAAGGGGCAAACTGGAGAAGATATTGTAGAGAAGGAGGAGGTAAACTTGTTGGTTGATGAAGGTTTTATGTCATCACCAAACGCTACATTAGAATCTGAGACGCAGATCGAACAAATTAACTTTCCTTTAACACAAACTTATTTAAATAATAATAATGATAACGTTGACGTGTCAAATAATTATTATGATAATAACAGTAGTAATGTAAATCTGAACGATGCAACAACTTCAAAATCACTAAATGATCAAATAACCGATCCAAACTATTTTGATCTTGACTTTGATTTTTTCAATTTTCATGAAAGATTATTATTTACTCCACCTCCGCCTTTTCAAATGACGCCCGTGACTCTGCCTTCTGATCAATCATCAGTAGTACTTGATTTCGATCAAGACAGTAATAATACAATTGCCCAATATACTAACACCAATGCCACCACGGCAGAAACTATCAGTGACGAGTATTCCAAAGAAATATCAAGCAATATGTTCAAAAATACTTACTGCACGCCATTTAATTTCGATTTGAACAATTTCTTGTGAGTAACCGAGTGGCTGATAGTAATGCTAACCTATCCCTCTTTCAGTCTAAAAGATTATGATTTTTCCTTTTTTCTATATGAAATTTTTAGAATAATATAGCATATATGCAATAGAGTCCTACTTTAACGTTAAGATTTTTGATTGTATTATCGTACAATAGATCTGTATACCGAACAATTCTTGCACAAATCAACGAACTATCCCCTGTTGATTATATGTCGATCATCAATTATTATTTAATCTGCAAATTGAATATTCAAATATTCATATTAAAATATCCACTAGATTCAACATATGGATGTTGAAAAGTCTTTCAAAAGCAGTTTTGTCTTTTGTTGTATGCAAATTGATTGATCTAAGCTAACTTGTGAATATACCTACGATATGAGATTGAATTTTTGATTTGTTTTATATTGGATATATGTATTGCTGTAATTCGATAAATTCTATGGATCCTAATGTTATTACGTCCAAAGGTAATTTGTGAATTATGCAAAAACTATTGTTCAAGCATGGATGAGTTATAATAACCATTTTCTGTCGCGAAAAGATGGTTTTCTTTTTTGAAGGACTCGTATAAGAAAAATGCGTTCAATATATGTTTGTGTTTCTGTAAAACACACGTAAAACGTGACATCAAACTTTTTCATATATTTCCATGCTTTATTACAAACAGATTACGTGCAAATTTTTTTATAGGAAATCTTAGCCAGTTGAAAATATTTAACTTTACAAAAGTTCTACTTGTGTCTTCATTTTCTCCCAAAATACTACAAATAAAAATTTACCTGCCACTTAACAAATAAATTGAATAAATCATTGGATGATTTATTGGGGTTGCAATTTTCACGAGATCTAACTTTCTGTGTAGAACATCACACCTTTAGTTTGTGACTCATACCTTTTGAAATGTAAAAAAGAGTTCTGCCACCAAAAAGTCAAAGTACCAAAATATCAAAATATATCATTATTAGGGATTCTCTTTAATATGACGAGCTCCGATAATATTAAATATTGGTCAGTGTATTTTCAATTTACTTGTGGCATATCAATAAAAATAACACTAACAACAACAAAACCAGCATTCAATATGCCAGTATTCCGTAGGACTATAAAGCTCGGAGATTTACTTCGCAACCTGATTTCTATTTGCATGAGAACACCATTAATCATGAGTGTTTGAAGAATAAATTGCCAAATTTAACATCACCAGAGCGTTAATCCAACAAATGCACCAAAATCATCAATACAATTTCAAAATCGAATAATAAATTTACCTCCTAAAAAACAGTAAACCTTCAGATTCTGTATATTAAATTCTGTTTTGTGGTTTATTACGTCAACGATTTTTGCGACGTGTTAAGATAATTTTCATGTGATTTAATTAATATTCGAAGTTTATGATTAATTATGAAACTGAAATTTACAGTTCTCGACATAAATCATGAGAATTTTGTTTTCATGTAATGTATTTTAGGATTTTTTGCTTTTACTTTTTTTTTGAAATTTATATTTGGTTAAATTATTTAAATATCATTGTTATACTATGAAAAAAATTTTATTAAGAAAGTTTATTGAAATCGCATAACAAAAATTTTGTAACAAATTACATAAAAATTACTCAATAAATGAATTATGTTGCTAAATAACAGCGAGTTGCTATATTAACTTAATCGGAGAAAATGATTATATTTTTAATATTTATAACCCCGATATTACTAATGAAATTAAAGCTCACGAAGTCTACTCCACCCAAAATACCAAAGAACGGGAACAATTACGAGTAGATTATAAAGAGGAATTAAGTTCAAACTATTAAATCAAATCTAATAAAATTTTTTTCTTAAATCTTAAATAATATTTCTGATGCATTTTCTTGTTAAAATACAATAAAGCAAAAAATTATGTTGAGTACTGTACTATAATAGATAATAGGGGATATTTTAACGATTATTCACACTTCAAAATTTTGAGGAAGGTTTACCGTGTAAAGTATATAGTTATTATAATAATTCGGGCCAGCACTATGATAATGTTCAAATTATCATAGCGTTGGCATGAATTATCGTGATCCTTTTTTAAAGAGTTTATCATTAAGCATTTGTATAAATCGATGTTTGACATCTGTTTTTCCAGCTTTCCATGACTTTAAACAGCATTTTAAAGCTAAATGAGTATCTTTTTGGATACCCTCTCCTTTGAAATAACATAACATCAACCCGTCTTGAAATCCATCTCCAAATTTTGAATAACACTTGTAGGCTTTAGCCATATCTCTCCTACACCCAATTGAACATTGGTAACAAGCTCCCAGATGGTGACATGCCACCAAGTTATTGGATTTCATTGATTGTTGGTACCATCGAAATGCTCTTTCATTATCACGAATATGCCAAAGCCCATAACGATATGAATTCGCCAAAAGAAATTGAGCATACATTTCGTTTTGATCTGCCGATCGGTGAATCAATTTACGCGCATACTTTTTTTTCAATTCGGGATAATTGCGAGATACGATGGGTGACGGATAAACTTCGATGTCGCTAATTATTTCGGTAATGCTCAAAAAACCAAAAACGGTGACATGTAGAGGCAATGATGAATTCAATAATGTTGATTGAAGGTATTGATCAGATAGATGGGTTCGTACTAAATAAGCTTTCAGCTTTCTCTCCATATCCAAAGAGGGATCTTCTTGATCCATAGAGACTTTAAAAAGCTGTACTAATCCTAAATAAATTTTCAGAACAATTTTAGTATTTATTTTGTTATTTCGTTCTGACTTTAAAGTTTACCTGTAATGGCATCCATTTTTATTATATTATTGACGTGTTAAGTAGAATGCGCAATTTATTTTTATGTACTGCGGGTATGTGGAAAGGAGAAATCATGCAATCGAAATAAATACTTTTCAGTTTTTTATACTCGTTTCCGATTTTCTTGTTGCAGATCTTTTCTGAAAGTAGGATTTTTATTGTGTCCAAGCTTACAAAAATTAATTTATACGATTTTTAATCACATACATGTAATAGCAAACCAATAAGAATGCGCAAATCATATGTGTGCCAGCAAATATTAAAGGTCAATTTTATCGTTTGGGTTAAGGTAAAGGTTAGAGTGGAGGACAAAGTTATATGTAAACTTGCCTCCCCGACATTTTTTACTAGAGTTTCAAGTTAGATTTAGACATCTGTTTCCCGTATTTTGCCCATTTTCACACTTTTCATTTTTTTGTCTTAGATGTGCCGGGCTGATCAAAAATTTGCGCATCCTTATTGGTTTGTCATGTGTATGCGATCAGGAATCGAAGATACATGTATATGGTACATAACATCTAAAGTCATCTGTATTTTATAAACTGGATAAACTTCGTTACTAAAAAGTAAATACAAAGTTAATCTGAATATGCTCAGAAAGGGCCTATTTTATCATATTCACGGATTAAATTTTGTATTTACTTTTTAGTAAAGAAGTTAATCCATTTTATAAAATACAAACGCTTGATAACCTTAGATGTTATGCACTATATTACTTTGCATGCTATCGTTTCATTTTTTTACTTTCTTTGTGTTTGTATTTAACAATTATTCTCATCTATTTCTTCAGCTATTAATCTATGTTCATTCTGGTCTTTATTCACAACAGAATTAGAGCAAGCATAATCCCAAAAAGAGAACATTCGTCAAAACCTTCCTTTATAACTCAGATCATGAAATTCCTCCGATTTCAACCTCAAAAAGTTAGGAAGATACTTATGTTTCACGATTGTTTTCTTTTAATCTGCACTACTAAATCTCATTTGAATCTGAATACAGCCTCATGTTCACAATGATGAAATTAGTAAAGAGACCACTCGCTAGGATTGAATGGAAGTTTGATCATTCATACTAGAAGCTGAAAGAATACTGTTATACTTTAGCCTGCAACATCTCTCATTTCCATCTATCCTTTTCTACTTGGACGTTTGCTATCTCCTTCAAAACTCGCAAATACATGCAGCCAAATACGACTTAGTTTTTGAGTAGTGACATTCGAAATGTTTCCAAGTTCAAAGAGATTAGTAAAGGGGGAACAGGATCGTTTTTTGCATGAAAAAGCTAGTGGAAGAATCAAAGGATGGGACATAAAAAAGATCAAAAAAGAGAAATGAAAAGCAAGTGGTGGCATTTTCAAAAAGGTGATCATAAATGTTGCATTGAAAACAATTGAACATTCACAATCACTTCTGAAGGATTTCTTTAATAAGTAGATTTTATTTTCAGTTTTCGATTAAATGATTGACGTACTATAACGTTGGGCTTATCAATTACTTTATGTCTACACTTTAAGGATTCACCAAAGATGAGTTACCAGCCAATATCTCCTCTTGCCGAATTATTTCCATGACAAAGATTTATGTAATGATCACGCAAGACGACCTGGAATCAATTTAGCCTCCTCGTCGATACCCTTACTAATTGGAAGACGTGGCACCACAAACTAATAAATTCGTTGCGCTTTATTAACTACTAGTGCCTGAATGAAAAGTCAGCGAATACCATGTAACTTGCCCGCTGAGATCCAACATACCGTTGCTGCCATCATACACTACACTATCAATTGGGACTGAGGAGGGTGGACGTGAAAACATGCGACATTCTAGCTACACGCACTGTAGCTGTTCATGCTATACATGATTCAGCTACTAATGATCTAAATCTACTTATAACACTCACGCTTTGTTTACCAATTACTCCTTCACTTCATGCATCTCTCTTACTTTCACACGCCGCGTTCGCATGTGCTAATCTTGCAAATCCCATCGCTGCGCTAACTGCTGATTCGTCTGCCATATTACATATTCATTGATCGTTGTAACGCATCTTTGATTTTGCGTCACATTTTGATTACATAAGTTGTCAGCTCAAGATAATTAATTGATTAATAGCATTGCTAATGGGGCCATACCAAAGCAGTAGTTGCATATTTCAAATATTAGACGTCCAGAATTATATTAAAATTATGGTGAAAAGCAGATTATCTGTCTTCTGTTACATTGCTCTTTAATGAAACTCCATCAAAGCAGAATTAAATGCACACATCGACTTGTGAGTTCAAGAAGGTACCATTTGCTAAAGCTCTGTTCGGGTCGGGTTTGATCCGGAAATCGTAAAATAGTTTTTCGCTAATAGCTTTTATTTTTACCAAGACACTTGTATTTTGTGTCTAAGCAAAGTTGTTCGGAATGTAATTGTGTATATACCCACAAATTTTCGTTTAATTCCAATTAATATTGAACGAGAAATAACGACTTTTAGGCTGATCCGAAATATTTCGGGTCGGGTTTACCCAAATCCGACCCGACCCGAAATGTGCGTTCTCGGTCTGGTCACGGATTGAACCCGATTCGGTTTGAGCACTAGTTTCTACATAATCATGAGGGATACTATAAACAGTGCTAAATAGTAGTAATTTTTAATGAAAACACTATATTAGTTACAAATTAAAATATATAGCGAAAAAATAACTTGTAGCTTTCGTGCTAAATAGAAATCCACTGTTAAATTATTCATTACCTATATATTCATTATTAAATATCTTGTCAACCAAAGTCATCACTAATAAACTTCATGTTTTCACTTTGCTGAACATTATTAGTAATGACCTCTTGGCTATTGTATTGATTGTCTCCAAAAAGTGAATATGCAAGATCAATTATATCTTGCAAAGTCTGTTATTGAATTGCTGAACTTACTAGTTCCTATTTCTTCATTAATATTATTTGATGCTTTAAAATTAACATACTAAATTTTAAATCTCTTTCATTCAAATCTTTTCCATATAATGCAATACTTTCTTGATATTAATATATCTTTGTCATACTTTTCAAAAAAGAAACTTGAAGATGAGTTTATTTGTCTCATTTTAAAATGGCAAATTTCTTATACAATTTATTTAAATCGGTATACTAGCAAATAAGCATGCTAATTTACAATAACTTTCCATTAGAAAAAAGTGATAATTTTGAATTATATTTGAAATTTCAAGATATAACTTGACTTTTAGTATTTGATAAATTATACAGTCAAATTTTGACATTCTGATTTGTTATAATATTGATCTTTATAAATTTTAATAGAAGTTTACAGATTTCATAGAATTGTTCTTTGTGCAATTCTTGTTCTCTATAGTATAAATAGAGAAAAAATAGATAAATATATCAACTTTTTTATATTATTAATTGAATATTATTTTAAGTATAATATCTAAGATTATCAAATATTTGTATTTTATAAATAGATAAATATATTCACTAAAAACTAAATACAAAATTAAATTTATAAATATATTTAAAAAGAATTTATTTTATTATATTCACAAATTAAATTTTGTATATCTATTTTATAAAATACAAATATTTGATAATTTTAGATAGTATATATAAAATTCTTTAATAATATAATATATAATATCTAATATCTAAATTTATCAAATATTTGTATTTTATAAAATGAATAAACTTCTTCTTTATTAAGAAGTAAATATAAAATTAATTTTTTCTATATATTTACTTCTTAATAAAGAAGTTTTAGATATTATATACATTATTATGTATAATATCTAAATTTATACTTTATAAAATAGATAAACTTCTTTACTAAGAAGTAAATACAAAATTTAATTCGTGAATATACTCTTTTTAAACATATTTATAAATTAAATTTTATATATAATTTTTAGTAAAAAAGTATATTTATTTTATAAAAGACAAATTTAATAACTTTAAATATTATATAATATATATATATTCAATAAAATAATTAGTTAAATTAGCTATTTGACTCTTTAATATATTTATTATTTTCTTAATTAGTTCAAAAACTAAAATAACTCTTTTACAAGTATAAAAGATATTATTTTTAATCTTTAAAATATTATACTTTTTTGTTAATTATTTCTGAATTTTTTTCAAAAAATAACTTTAATTATAAAATAAATAATAATAATATAAATACAAATTTTATTAAAAATTAATTTTACTCAAATTATTAAATTAAATATATTAACATTCATTGTATTAATTCTATTACAAAGTTTTATTTATTAAATATAATTAATAAAAAAATTTAATTATAAAATTAATATTTTAAGAATTAAACTAATTTTTGGTAATTTACAAAATTAGTTATAATTAAATTTAAAAATATTCTATATAATTAATATTTAAATATAAAAATATATAATATATATTTATTATTAATTACTATAATTACAAATTAAAATAAGCCAAGTTATTCAATAATATTAAATATTTATATATAACAAATATTTCAGTTTTATATAATTAATAATAAAATACAGATATTCATATTAATTAAATATAGTTATTATATAATTATATAATAAATTACTAGTAAGTAAATTTTAATTTTTAAGAAATATAATATTATTAAATAAATTAGATATAAATAATTTTATTAAATAATCAAAAAATTACTTAATATTAAATCAATTTTAAAATTATATTTTTATTAAGTATTAATTTAGTAAGAGTATATTAATAAAAAAATTTATATTATAGTTATAATATTTTTAAAAAGCATAAAAAAATAAATTATTAATAATATATTATATAAAATCTAAGATCATTAAATATTTGTATTTAATAAAATGGATAAACTTTTTTATTAAAAAGTAAATACAAAATTTAATTTATAAATATGATAGAATAAGTCTTTTTTTAGTATATTCATTTCTTTTGTTTATTATTAAAATAATTATATTATATGATCCAGTACAAAAAGATTTGTATCTCAAAATAAAAATTAATAATTACTTTTAATAAAAATTATTTAGAATTTAATTAATTTTTATAATTTTTTTATATTAAATAAAGAATAATCTCAATTAACTATTTATATTATTTTTGTACTTTTATTCAAGAGTAAATAATGTAATACATTTCTAAAAAAAATAAATTCTAATATCTAATAACTTAACTAAATAAAATAGAATTAAAATTTTATTTTAAAAAATTTTATACTAAACTATAAGAAGAAAAACAGCTATAATTTTTGAATTTGTTATTTTTGTTTTTTTTAATTGAAATTTTCTTTATTATTATTATTATATATAATTTTTCATTTCTTTTGCTATTTTAATTAATTATTTGTATATATTATCAAAAGCATTTTTTTTATATCACAAAGCTAAACATGCTTTTATTATAAGATTTGTCTTTTTGTTATTGTTCTTTATTATAATAATAACAAGTAGTACTATAATGATCATTATAGTTTAAATTATTAATATTGAATTTTTTCCAAATAATTATTTTAGATTATCTATCAATAACTATATTATTTTTTCTTTTACCAATGCTTTAGCTAAAAGATATTGTAATTTCTATTTAATTTTGCTTTAAACCAATCAAAAAATATATTTGGAATTGAAACTTATATTTGGAATTAAGACTAATATTGCAGTAATTCACACATGTACTGAACATGAAAATTAACTTTCTAGCATTTTTATTTTCATGACTATTAGTTTGGACAAAATAAAAAAAGTGTTTATTTAAAACTCTGAAACCTCTAATATTTTTTAAAAATAATTGACAACAGATTATTTTGTGAAATAGAGTGATTTAAATCAAAATTTACAATTAGTAAATTTCTCACATTGAAGAAC